TATATTGGGCTCCTTTTGCACACAAACCATAAAAATCTATTGGGCTCCTTATTTTTAGACCCAACGGCCCAAAACGTTTTCTAATCTTTGAAATAAAATTAAAAGAATATGCACCAGCCGGGAATTGAACCCGGGTCTGTACCGTGGCAGGGTACTATCATGCCACTAGACCACTGGTGCTATTGTTTACTGTTTATCTTACTGAACTAAATAATTTCTCAAACATGTAAAATCAAGCCTAAATTTTTAAAAGCTAGTATTGAAACTTTCAAGAACATGAATTATATAAACCAGTAGATGAAAAAAAAAAAGAGAGAGCATTGGGAAGATAGCGTAATACAGAAACAGCGCCCAGGAGTCACGCAACCTAACAGGTGACGTCATCACAGTTGATTCTCTGTACTACTACCCCCTAATATGGGCCCTAAATATTTTGTTTTTAAAAAAAATGAGAAATAACCATTTTATGGAAAAATATTATCCCAAATAGTATTTGTTGTCAGTTTTATTTATGTACTCCATTTATGACATGACCAAATTACTTCTCTTCATTTTAGGTTTTATGAGAAATAAATAATAACAACCCTTTAGACCCAAATAGTTTTTCTTGTATTACACCAAAGAAAAGAGTAATACAATCAAAATTAGGGTCTAAACCTTATCTCTGTGTGAATCATATTATGCATTATCTTTTTGTTGTGTGCTAAATCATGTTTTGTTTTCTGTATAGTTAGTTAAACATGTAGCTAATTATGGTTGGAAGTAATTTTGGCCAATGTTTTAAAGTAACAAGAACAATTGTTCTTCTAGATTTTAATCTAAATCTCTGTTAGCTTTTCACCTAGATGCTAAGTTGTATTTGATGGAACATAACATAATATAGTCGTCAACATGTGGTGTGGATTTGTCATTTATGTTATGATATGACCATTTTTTAATCTAATTTATTGCAAACTACTTAATTTGATTTACGAGAGCACAAATAAATCCTATATATCGGTTCAATTTAAAAGAAGAAGAAAAAAAGCATCGAATGACTGATGTGATTTATACTTTAAGAAGTGAGTTGGAATTATCTTTCCATGTGCCAAAATATAGTATTGGTACCATGAAATATGGTTTCTATTTCCATAATTCTCCTTTTTAATTTTTGCTATTTAAATTCTTGTTTAGGTCGTGTAATACAGTTCTCGATGATAATTACAAAAATCATCATTGTTTCCAATTGAGTGTAGTTTTTCTTTAGTTAGGATCCCTAATTAAAATTGATGGGAGCGCGTGGAAGTGAGTCGCGAGTGAATGGGAAATGAGTAGATATATATCAGTTTCTGAAGAAGACGTACGGAGTTTTGTGAAGAACGAGAAACGCCGTTACATCAACTGACGGCAAACTCGGTGGATTCTCACTAAGCAAAAGATTTGTGCAGAGAAAAATCATCAAACGTAATAATCTTTTTGAATGTTTATTTTTAATAATCTAAACGACGTTAGCATGACGACGTCACCTGAGAATCCCAATGGGCATTTATCAGAACTTGAGTACTTTGCAGTTGTAATGTTACTTTAATTAACTGCTACGTACTACTAAATTTTGTACTGTCCCTATAGATCAACTTCAAAGATCTATTTTTATTTTATTTTATTTTGGTCAAAAACGAAACCTAGGTGCCTTATGTATATACACTACAAAAAAGTTTTAAGGGTTGAACCAAATAAATAAAACAAATGTTCCAAATAAAATCGTTGAATGACAAGATTCATTTATTGTACGTAGCTGAACATAAATCATATTATGTTACGGATAATTAATACATCATGCTAATGTAATTGTTTTTTCTTTATTATTCAATTAGGAAGTTGGTCCAATGGACCTTAATTTTCAAAACATGTGCCGATTATAGTTATTTTTTTAGTAAAAAGTAATTACTTGGTATATTGATTTTTATTCGTGATGTGACACTTTCGTATTATCGTGTATAACATTTTTACATATATTTATGCATGTTGTCGTCCAAAAGTTAATTTCAATAGTTCTTGTGGTTGGGATGTTATTTAGCTATGACCTACCAAGCAATTAATAGTTTTCGCATTATTATTTTAACCTTTATGAACTTCGATACAAAATAGGTAAAATGTTGATACAAAATAGTAAACGACCAAATGAAGAGGAGTTGTGCAAGTTGAGAAGCGATGCTCAGACTCTTCCCTCAGTGCAAAATGAAAAATGGTAAATCTGCAGAGTTTTGCAATAGGTCCGTTAGCTAGGTACTAAATTCAAGTGGTCTGCTAATACCAGGACTAGCCATAGACACCAAAGTTAATGTGAGGTTAGTCGCGATTGAGCTCGGGCGACTACAAACTCTTGACCTTCAAGCACTTTAACAAGTGTTTACCTCTCTTGAGGACACTTCTACCTCAAGAAACCGGATCATCGTTTATTCGTTTATGAAATTAAGTTCTTGATTCGTTTTCACATATTTTATCTTCTGTTCCTTATAACATCCTCTTCCTCATGAAGTTGATTGGCACGATTCTGAAACACGGATCCTTATTTGGATTAGAATGCTGTCTCGAGGCCGTTTGAGAACTTGGGGGCATATTATGAATATCCCACAACAAATAAATAAGGGATGGTTTCTTATCTTCAACATCATTTTAATCCTCACCTCTAACTCAATATACATACACTCGCCTTTGGATGAAAAAGCAACATCACATGACAAAATCTTCTACAACCCTATCACTGCAAAATCTCGATCAGCCAAGACAATTCTCACCACTTGGTTTCAGCCTACACATCCATGTGTTTTATAAAATTCAAACATCACATTATTTTGTAACTAGGGCTCACCATGAAGTTATTTTTGTGCAATATACTAACATTTAAGAAAAAAAACCTAGAAAATTGAAATGATACAATTATTATGAATTTACTAAAATTAGAGTCGCAAATCTAAGCGCGCATTACATCTATAGAGGCAGATAATGAAAAATATATGTAATTTTTTTTTGGGTTATATACTATTTTATGTTCAGCCAAGAAGGTGAAAAAGGAGCGATTGCTTAAAAATGTTTTCGTGTGGTTACCCGTGATGCAATGTAAAAAGAAAAAAGAAAAAAAAAAGAAGAGAAGAGAAGAACTAATAATTACGTGCACTTTAATTTACTGTAATACTTTATTGGAGTGCCTTGGTTCTTTTTCAATTTTTGTGGTCCATCTTAGCCAAAAGAGGAAATACTTTTATATAATATAAAATATTGTAACGCAAAGTATTGCTTAGTATTCGAAACACATTTTTTCAAATGATTTACGTCCCATTATTTCCCATGCAAACGGAAATATCCTCTAATGATTATTTCAAACACGATTATTACAGTACAGTCGAAATTACTTTCCCGGTTTTAATCATATTCTGGCATATCTTATAACATATTTTTTGCAAAGGTATTCGCTTTTGTTTTTGTGACAAATTATTTATTAGGTTTTTAAATTATTACAAATAACTCTCACAGACGTATGTAATCCAACACATAAAATATATGGTTGATAAGAATTCACATCAATTTTGATTAATTTAGGGACTATAAATATGTTATATACAATAATTAATCTATGCATCTTTTTTAATCATTGTGATTGTTCTAGTTATAATAAAATATGGTTGATCACAATTCACAACAATTTTGATTAATTTATGGACTATAAATTTGTTAACATAATTAATCTAGGCATCTTTTTAAATCTTTGTGATTTCTCTAATTATATAATATGAACTGCAGAATTTGATTGTTCTCAATGTATAATCTTACGGGTCATACCATACCATCCATGCTTTGAGTTAGGGATGTCAAAATAGGTCAAAATTCATGGGTCAACTCAACTCAACTCAACCCATGAACCCTAATGAGTTGAAAATTTTGACTCAAATGAGTTGATGAGTCAAATGGGTTGATGAGTCAATTGGTTTGATGAGTAAAATGAGTTGGGTTGTAATGGTTAATGGTTTCAATGGTTTACCCAATTAACCCATCAAATTTTATAAAATTGAATTAAACCAACTAAAATCATGCTTTGAGTTAGGGATGTCAAAATAGGTCAAAATTCATGGGTCAACTCAACTCAACTCAACCCATGAACCCTAATGAGTTGAAAATTTTGACTCAAATGAGTTGATGAGTCAAATGGGTTGATGAGTCAATTGGTTTGATGAGTAAAATGAGTTGGGTTGTAATGGTTAATGGTTTTAATGGTTTACCCAATTAACCCATCAAATTTTATAAAATTGAATTAAACCAACTAAAATCTCTAAACCAATGCCAATTTAAGTTTAACCAACACATCTAAACAAATTTAATAAAATTAATATTTTTCCAAATTTCTTAAATATACAAGCGATGAAATTGAGAAAAAATAAATTCGTAATTTTTCCACCAAAAAACATAAACCCGTGATTTTCTCGCCAAAAACGTAAACCCGTGATTTTCCCGCCAAAAACGTAAACCCTTAATTTTCCTGCCAAAAACGTAAACCCGTAATTTTCCCACCAAAAACGTAAACCCGTGATTTTCCCGCCAAAAATGTAAACCCGTGATTTTCCCGCCAAAAACGTAAACCCGTGATTTTCCCGCCAAAAACGTAAACCCGAGATTTTCCCGCCAAAAACGTAAATCCGTTATTTTTTCGCCCAAAACGTAAACCCATGATTTTTCCGTCAAAAACGTAAACCCGTGATTTTCCCGCCAAAAACGTAAATCCGAGATTTTTTCGCCGAAAAGCTTAAACCCGAAATTTTCCAGCCAAAAACGTAAACCCATCATTTTCCGGCCAAAAACGTAAAAAACTATAATTTTCCTGTCAAAACGTAAATCCGTGATTTTCCGTACCTAAAACGTAAACCTGTAAAAAATAGAATCCGTAAATATCTTAAGTTTGATGATAATGAATTAATAATGATAATTATTTATTATTATTTTATAATAATAATTAATTAAATTATTACTTAAATGGGTTAACATCTCAAACCATTAAATTAAATGAGTTATAGGTTGACCCAACACATTTAACAAAATGAGTTGGGTCAACCCATAACTCATTTATTCCTAAACTCATTTGATTATAAGTTGAGTAGAGTTGGGTTATCCATTTTAATATCCCTACTTTTAGTACTATAGCTACAAGCCTACAACTATGGAGATTAGTGTGAATGTATGATTGTCGAATAAAAATAGAGTGACTAAATATTTTAAGCGTAAAAAGGTATTTATTCCAGCAAAAGAAAAGAAGAAAAACGACAAAAAGAAGACTTAAAAGTTGTAGAAATGTCAGTACGTATGTGAAAGACTGAGACACAGAACACTTTGTACAAGAACCAGTTCCAGTGTCACCGGTTACAGCCGGTCGCCTTCTCTTGATTCCCCAAAGCCTCTCCCACCAAACCCGGGACTTTTCACTTTTCATCAGTATTTTTTTTTGTTAAAGATTTTCATCAGTATTTTATATATATATATATATTATAAAGATCGAATTTGTTTGCATGATGAGGAAAGTATATCGAGTTACTATGTATCCATCGTTTGAAATACCCGTTTTAAAAAAAAATAATGAGATTTATTTTTAGGACTTCAGTATATATACGATTAACTTTTAACAGTTGTGTGACTAAAACGAAATGTAACAAAAATAAGAGAAAACTACAAAACAGGTAGTGAAAAATGACAAAAAAATTGTAGGACGCTAAGACGAAAAAATGATTCAAGAAAGAATATGTCTTTTCAATTTCAGTTTTACGAAATCGTGTAATAACGTAAATACTAAATCACGATTTCACAGAACCATATAAAATACTAAAATCCCACGCAATCATTAAACTTAATTCACCATTCTACGGATGACCTATGAGAGAGCATTGAATTGGCTTTAGTAACAAACACCAAAAAGATGAATCTTGACCAAATTTGTAATGCTCATACTAAATTCCTCCAAGTCTTATAAACATTAGATATTTTATATTTTAGGTTTTCAAAATATGTCATATAAAGAAAAATTTGATATACATATTGATCGTGCTTCAAAAAGACACCAAAAGAGCTTCTCTCTCTCTTAACCTCTCGTTTCGCCATTATCTCTTACACTGTTACTCTCTCTCTCTCTTCTTCTTCTTCTTCTTCTTCTGCATCTCATCGACATCATCCTTTCCCATGGCTGATGCATACGAGCCTTATCATGTTCTTCAACAAAGCCGGCGAGACAAACTTCGTATTCCATCTCTCGATTCCCACTTCCACTTTCACCCTCCTCCTCCTCCTTCCTCCGGCGGCGGAGGTGGCGTCTTTCCTCTCGCTGATTCCGATTTCCTCGCAGCCGGTGGCTTTCACTCCAACAACAACAACAACCACATATCTAACCCTAGCTACAGTAATTTCATGGGATTTCTCGGTGGCCCTTCTTCTTCTTCATCCACCGCAGTCGCCGTCGCCGGAGATCATTCCTTTAACGCCGGACTTTCTTCCGGAGACGTTCTTGTCTTCAAACCCGAGCCTCTATCTCTATCTTTGTCCTCTCACCCTAGACTCGCTTACGATCTAGTCGTTCCCGGTGTTGTTAACTCCGGATTCTGTAGATCTGCCGGTGAAGCCAACGCCGCCGCCGTCACCATCGCGTCTAGAAGCTCTGGTCCTCTCGGACCTTTCACGGGCTACGCGTCGATTCTTAAAGGATCAAGGTTCTTGAAACCAGCACAGATGCTTCTTGATGAGTTTTGTAATGTGGGTCGTGGGATTTACACCGACAAAGTCATCGACGACGATGATTCTTCTCTGCTTTTTGATCCGACGGTTGAGAATCTCTGCGGTGTTTCTGATGGCGGCGGAGGAGATAATGGAAAGAAAAAATCAAAACTCATCTCCATGCTCGACGAGGTATACAATAACATGATCAATTCTAATCTCTTTAAATTATTGAAATCTGTAAATTTTCTTTAATTATTGTCTATACTTTCTTACAAGTATGTGAATTATTGTGTTAAATGTTCACAGTTTTTGGTCGGTGTCCTTTGGAATTGGAGACAAAATGTGTTAAATGATATGTCTCTTAAAAAGATCTTCCTTGGAAAATGAAACTCCTTCAAAGCCATTTTAAAATTATATGATATTTTATTTAATTCATTATAATACCATATGTTAATTAAATTAATGTTCCCTACGTTTTGCATGAATAGATGATGTTATAGCGTCCATTTTAATACATTATATAAATTACAAGCTTGCCATCTTCATGCTGATTTTTAATAGAATTTTAAGGTTATACTAAAGTAAGGATAATATTATCTTGAGGAAGTAACTTTATATAGAGCTTCCTTAGCTCTTGATCTGAATTTGTGAATTAGATTCTTCAAATCTTAGGGGTATATACATTAAGTGATAAAAAGAGAACGTCTTCTTTATGAAAGGAATATATGCATTATATGATCTTAAAGCTAGGGACTTAAAGATTTTAATTAGTTTATTCCGAGGTATATAACATACTTTTTGAGTGAGGAAATAATGTATAAATTTATAATCACCCATTTTATTATGTAAGTGGGGGAATCTAAAAACATTTCCATGTGACGTTTTGAAGGTTTACAAGAGGTATAAGCAATACTATGAGCAGCTACAAGCTGTGATGGGATCATTCGAATGCGTTGCAGGTCTCGGGCACGCTGCTCCGTACGCTAACTTAGCCTTGAAAGCATTGTCTAAGCATTTCAAGTGTTTGAAGAATGCTATAACGGACCAGCTTCAATTCAGCCACAACAACAAGATCCAACAACAACAACAATGTGGTCATCCGATGAACTCTGAGAATAAGACTGATTCTTTAAGATTTGGAGGAAGTGATAGTTCTAGAGGCTTATGTTCTGCTGGTCAAAGACATGGATTTCCTGATCATCATGCTCCTGTTTGGAGACCGCACCGTGGCCTACCCGAACGTGCTGTTACTGTTCTAAGGGCTTGGCTCTTCGATCATTTCTTGCATCCGTAAGTAACCCTTCTCGCCATATAAATGCTTTTGAAAGTTGTTGGATTCGAGTTTGAACTTGGTTCCAACAATTGATTAAACTAAATGCAAACGTTTAATTGATCATGAACCAAATTGTATATATATGCTTGTGAACAATAGCTTTATATGTGTGTGTCAGTGTGAATAAATATGTGTGTATCGAAGTGTATTTTTACTTGGAAGTATGTTTTAGATGGGACATGTCGACTGCTTGTTTGTTTCCCAAACTTGGAGATGTCGTGTTGCAAGCGTAATTATGTGTCTATATATATGTGTATGTTAGTATATACAATGATATATTAAATTGTTGTTGTCTGTGTCTTTTGTTGCAGTTATCCAACAGATACAGACAAACTCATGCTGGCTAAGCAGACAGGTCTCTCCAGAAATCAGGTTTCACTTCTGATATCTTCAGTCTTCTTCTTTTTTCTCTTTCCATCTTTTCTTGTTCACAATTTAACAAATTTCTTGCTAATTAAGCATGCACATAGTCACATAGATAAATATATGCTTTTATGAAATGAGTTTCTGTTGTCGGACAATAATTATATGTTTTAAATCTTTTCACATATATCATTAGTATAGTAACTATGTTATAATTTGGTTTATTAGGTTTGAATAAGTGTTACACTTTTGTTTTTGAAAATTTATCCGTTGGTGATAATGAATAATTTAGGGATTTTATATCGCTTGAGGGTTATTAATTTATTATGGTAAAATGTTATTTTAGGTATCGAATTGGTTCATAAACGCAAGAGTTAGGGTTTGGAAGCCGATGGTGGAAGAGATTCACATGCTGGAGACTCGACAATCTCAGAGATCTTCTTCTTCCTCTTGGAGAGACGAACGTACTAGCACCACCGTCTTCCCTGACAACAACAACAACAACCCATCTTCGTCCTCGGCACAGCAAAGACCTAACAACTCATCTCCGCCTAGACGGGCACGAAACGACGACGTTCATGGCACAAACAACAACAACAGCTATGTAAACAGTGGGAGCGGCGGCGGTAGTGCGGTTGGTTTCTCGTATGGAATTGGGTCGTCGAATGTGCCGGTGATGAATAGCAGCACAAACGGAGGAGTGTCTTTGACGTTAGGGCTTCATCATCAGATTGGGTTACCGGAGCCTTTTCCGATGACAACTGCTCAGAGGTTTGGGCTTGATGGTGGTAGTGGCGATGGTGGTGGTGGGTATGAAGGGCAAAATCGTCAGTTTGGGAGAGATTTTATTGGTGGTAGTAATCATCAGTTTCTACATGATTTTGTAGGTTGAGATTATTTGTGTGGAAAGGAAAAAATATGTTTGACGTTTGGGTATGTATAAGAAGATATGGGGGAATTGAAATGCATATGATGTGTATATTAGAATGTTTCTTCTTCTTTTTTTGTTGTTTGCTTACTTTCACAAATGTTATCTTTTTAAGAAATGAAATTGGATTCAATAACCAATGTTAAAAACATGGGTTAGACTTTAGAGTTGTCTATGTCTTGGTGAAATATAAAAGGCATCTATCATTGTTTTAATATTTTGGCATGATTCAAAACATGGTGCTTTTTTTTTTTTTATGTATGTCACAATTATCGTTGAAGAACGCGATTAAGATGTTTATCATTGATCGTTGATATTATATTTTGAACTATCTTGTTTTACTTGATAGTAAACATTGACTAAACAACATGTTTTCAAACCCTAAACCTTGAAATATTTCAGACTATTTGAGTTATCTTTTTGAGTCGGATGCAGTTTTGACTCCGATCCGCTCAACATTGTTGAATTCTTCTACTCATAAAAGAAGTTTGAGCCGATTTCAAACACACAAAACAAATGAGTTCGGTTTAATGTTCAGTGTGTACTAATACGTTGGCTTTTGAAGATCACATGAGAGCAAAAGTATTGAAAATAAAATTGTGCTTTTGTTGCTTCAAATAACTTTCCATTTGCTTTTGGAAAACAAGAAAGATATATATATATATATATATATATATATATATACATAACCTTTCCCTCTCATGGGAAAAAAGTAAATCTTTTTCTTTGTAGAATTTATTCTCCGATCCTAACCATTTCTCAGCCTTTT